TTTGAGCAAGACTGGCTTTGGCAATTAGTACACGCTGGAGAACACAGTAACCCTACTCTTCTACAGCCACATTTAGCACTACAACCTTTTTTGCAATTGCAAAAAATAGTGTTTAGGAGTTTCTCCGGAGCAGGTGGGAGTAAAGTTTGAATCGGTTCCAAACTATTATCTGTTAATTTCCAACCCGTCTTCTGGGTTCAGTTGATTGCCTAGCCATGTCTGAACTTGATAGTATACTCGATACAAGTGTTGATTAGCAGAAGCCGAAGTTGGAGGAAGACAAGATAGTTGTACTTGTTTCTTGTTTCGTGTATTTTTTACAAAAGTTTTTACAATAGAGTAACCAGATATTATTCAAGGCCATGCGGGTAGAGGGGATTGACTAAGGGATTGAGTTCTCAGAATAGTATAGTTTATACATATAAGAGACACAAATAGGCATTTTTACTTGTATTAAGTGCCTGACTATGTATATACGTGGCATATACAGTGTAGGAAAGTACCGATGGTCTATCAGAAGTTACCTGAGAGCGATAAAGTAAGCCATAGAAATACATGTGATAGACAAGGATGGCTATAGTGAAGGCGTCTAATAGTCGACGCTCATTTCGCCCTTTCACAAATAAGAAGTGGATCTTATTTGTGGAAGGGCGAAACGGGCGGTGACAAAGAGAAGCCTTCATTATAGCCATCCTTCTCCATCGCATGGATTTCTATGGCTTACTTTATCGCTCTCACGTAACTTCAGATAGACCATGACTAATTTGACCGGACTATTATTATTGCTAATTACATAAACAAATTGCATAAATTACGTAGAAAACACAAATAAGATTAATTCACCGTCACCTTTGAACTTGTACGAAGAATATATGGAACAAGTCACGTACCAACATTTCATGATATTGAAAAATGGACGGATATTTTATTTTTTCTAGAGAAATCATACACAATAAGCTTCAACCAAACTCCTCGACATCTGCCTCTTTATTATCCGCTAACTCGGGAAGCGAAAACTCATTAAACGTAATGAAAAGTTAGAACGAATCATTTTTCAACTCCCTTAAATAAGTGCCAGTACTAGATGTAAAAGGTTTATATTTATTAGCGAGGATATAATTGAGTCCCACTTATTGTGTGAAGATATTATAATTTATGGCATCTTTTCATCACCTAAATGAGATAAAACTAATGACTGCAGATTACGGCACGGTAAAAATAAGAAAATGCCACTCGGATTAAAATAAATTCTCATTAAATTACCTCTTCGAAGAAGGACGACAAAGGCAATCTAATAAAGACGAAGCCTCTCGAAAACTAGGAGAAATGACCCAATTTCGTATTTTATTTGGGAGTTTTAAGCCTTGCAAAGATAACTCCGCGATGTTTATTTACAATTTATACCGATTTGCGAGAATTAAGGCCACGCCCGGATCACAGCTAATCTTAATTATTTTATTTGTCAACTGTTCGCTACCAAATAATAAACATACATATCCCTTCTAGACTTTAATAAAGAAAAAGCGAGGTTATTTTCGTTGAATACTTTTCAAATATTGTAAAAAATGTTAACATAATATATCGGCTCATATAAAAATCTTAAAAATGAGGTAATTCAAGAGCAAGGAGTCTAATTACCAATGTTTCCAAAAAATTGTGTCAAGAAAAGCTGCACGATGAATTAAAGGCACCTCATTCCAATATTTAGCAAAGAAAACAATTTTAAGAAAAGAAGGATTGGGAAGCACATAATTTGGAGCTAGGACATAAAGGAGAAGGCGTTTAGGATGGTTATCCCTTAGTCTAGAAACGCAAGCCAATTCTTCTAGGCGAAGTGATGAACACTATGCAACGGACTTAATGAGGAATGATAAAAAAACAACAACAATGTGACTAGATTGAATATAAGGTCATAAGAGACATCGTGGCCAAGGAACCCTGACGGGTTGGCTAAATCTAACTCATCTGTAATCTTCAAGGGGTCATTTGACCCAGCATGAATTACTTGTAAATCAATTTTCGGCAAAACATTTTTGTACGGCATTTCTAAAGTATACAGGTTCGAAAAGTCTTCATAGTTCATCGGCTGTTACGTGAGTGCGATAAAGTAAGTCATAGAAATCCGTGCGATGGAGAAGGATGGCTATAATGAAGGCGTCTTATAGTCACCGCCCGTTTCGCCCTTCCACAAATAAGATCCACTTCCATTTGTAATTCAGCGACCGGTGGTCATCTTTGTTTTCGTCGTTTGCCTTTTCTTTAATAGATGTCACTACTTATACAATTGCGATTTAGGTATTCCGATATGTTAATACAATCCGTTAACAGAGGGCAGCACAACGCGTAACAAAGAAAACTTTTTACAGTAACTAGTAGATACCTCTGTTTGTAAATCTAGTGACCTTGTTTCCCCTACTGAGAAATTATTCAAATGGAGTATAGTGCCCAGCTGCATTTAAAGTTCATTTAGTTGTTATTTAAGTATAATTTGCCACCTGTTTTGCAATCACTTGTTTGATAAAATATGACCAAAAACTATCGTACTAAATCATGGCCGGTTATATAATTAATGGTACAAATAAAAAATTCGAATTAAAAAACATACACATTTTGAAAATTTATAATATTTTGAAAACTAAAATGATATATTCAAAATATTATGGCTGTAATTGACTTTTCATAAGTAAAAAATAAAAAAAAAACAATGCCGTACATTTTTAACTGGTGGATTTTACATAGTGGATAATATTTTTCATTAAATTTTTACTACATTTTTACAAATTTTCATCAGAAATATAACAAAGAATGAAAATTGTAATGCCGTACAAATTCGTTGTAACAATTCCCCGAAGCTGTAAGTCCAAAATGAGTTTTATCCTAATTTCAAGAGAAATTTAATTTATACCGTAGAAATTACGATGGCATTGTCTTTAAGATTAAAAAAAAATTGTGAATCGAGAAAATATTTTTAGAAATTTAGATTTAAGGAAGTGCAAGAAAGTATTATTTTTAAATAAATATAATAATAACAAACAATTAATTTTAACTCATTGTCAATATTCATCAGAATTCCTATAATACTTACATTTAAAACATTGATATAATATATGTTTTGAAGTAACAGTACCCTCGCATTTGCATATTTGCAACTTCTGTTAACAATTGTTTGAACAATTTATTTATGCAAAAATTGTGATCAAGCCATCGGCATACAATATATGTTTAAAATTAGTAAAAATAATTTTAAAGTGCATTTGTTACAAAAACAACTAAGATTGTCGGTTATAACAATGAAATTAAAGACAACATAAAAATTTATACGCCGAAAAGAAAAAAGAGAGAGAAAGAAGATGTTTCGATGGCCAGCTAGAATCTCGAAGCGGTAATTTTAATTTTAAAATGAAAATAATTCTAAATTGTTAAAAAAATATTCGAATGCAATTTTTTTATAGATTTTTTAATAATAATTTTTTGAATTTTGAAATAAATTTACTTATGTATGTACTTGTCAAAAAAAATAATATATAAGCTTTTCAAATTTATAAAATTAATAATTTTTATATCGACCTATGGTTTTTTAACGGCATATTACTTAAAAATTATTTTACATCTTAAATAATGTTTTAGCAACAAT